CAGGAATTGCAGGTGAGATTTATAATATGTTGCCATCACTAAGGGCCATGAACAGGAAATTTAAATCAAGATTCATCAACCATTTGTTTCAGCCATAACCGAACCAAGTGTGCAGCATATTGCACCACCTTGCCCATTCTGCATGTTTTCTAAATGATAAAATACTGCACAAAATCTATCATCAATGTCCTCTCCTACCTGCCATTATTTCAAATGCCTCCTTGAAATAACAAAAAGACTTTGACCTCAGAAAAGCCTAATTCCTGTGTCCCTATATAACAAAGAAAAGCAGGGCAACCCCAGATACAAATGTGGTATCCCTACATTCAAATAAACAACTTCTTTGAATATTGATGTGAGTACCATTTATACAACACTAAAATATATTAAAAAAATTAATTCACCATTAACTTTACTGATGACAGCAGCAAAAGTGGCTAGAGAGCTAGAAGGCATTTCTTTTTAAAAATTGTTGTGTTCTGCCTCCCTTGACATTTCTAAGAGTCCTAGCTTGTATGTCAAGACACTAACCATTTCATTATCCAAATTTCTGCAGCCTGTTAGGAGGCCAGATTCTCCTTGGCATATTTGTTTTGTTCACTGGTTGTTCCATTTCATTAAAAACTAAAGACGTTCTATGATGAAAGCAGCAGTATTCAGAAAAACATAACTGTAGAGACTAAAGGCAACTCAGCCTTGTCTGCTCAACAGTGAAGTGATATTTCCTCACATTTTCCCATACTTCAGAGCAAATTTATAATATATTGCTCAACAAAAAAGTTAGCTTTCAAAGCAGTTTCAGAGGAAGAAAGAGAAAAAAAAAAAAGTAGATGTAGAAACACCAGACTTTGGAGTAAGAGCACAAAAAAAGGACATGTTCAGGGGAAAAGAGCAGAGATGAAAGCCTGGCCCAACTGAATTCCAGGATAAAACAACCATTGGTTTCAACAGGGTCACGATCTCTGTCAAGGTCTGAGTCTGGATTCACTTTTGAAGTAGGTGTGGCCTAAAAGCAGGAGGGAAGAATTAGCTATAAAATAAAATATCTCTCTCTGTCTTAAACAGCCCATCTTTCATTTCATGTTACGCTGCTATTGACTACAAAAGAGGCTCAAGAGGCTATGAAACCCACCTCTCTGGGTACACCCTACTTTCCACCACACTACCCTTTTTGTTATCCTTCCTTGACACATTATCATGAATGCTTCTTGTTGCTGGTGGTGACTGGCTGACAGCATTAACACAGTGGCTCTGCGACACACAAGGACTGCATAAATTTTACGTCAAGTCACTTTTTACCATCAACAAACCACCGTCATCTATCTAGAGGCACAGGTTTGGGTACACACAAGTGATTACACACTATACATGTGCCTCAGTGTTGTATTTGTGTAAGTTGTGCTTCTGCCTTACGTACACGCTCACACGCCACGTGTACGTAGCATTTCTGAGTGCACAGGCACACACGTGCACGGATGCAGGAAAAGCGTGAGTGTGGGAGCCCCCATAATGCTATTCCTGGCTGATGGTGGATTGTTACAGAATTTGTTTCCGTGTTAATGGATCACAGGAAAAAAAACCTTGTCAGGATTATTTTAATTTGTAAAACATTTGTATTCCCTACTGCATCGCACTAAAAGGAATGTGCTAACCGCCAGTCTTTTAAGGAATATGATACAATTCCTTGTACTTTTGGTTTGAAATCGGAACTAAAACACATCTGCTGCAGAATAACTGATCTGGATGGCCCTGGCAGGAGGTAAAGGCTGGGAGTCAACTCACTCCTTCTGGCTGTAATCCCTTCATTCCCATGAATCTAGATGGGTCCCTCTATATCCTGTATCCTCTGATCATTTTCAGAAAAACATAAAGTTTCAATAAAATCACAAAATGCCCAACAAATGCATGACCTGCCAAGGCTTTGAAATTAGGAATACACCGAGTAACACAGCCACCTCACAGCTGCAAATGGAGGCAGGATTCTGGGTATTTTGTCGAGAAAAAAAAATAAAAATTATTGCCTGCATATGCTCCCTGTAAATCAGCACTCATTTAGCCACCCTAGAGCATGAAACTCAGCATAATAGATCTTTCATAGCTCACAGGAGAGGTCATGGTACAAGAATGTTGAACAATACAACACAATCTTTTGTAGGTAAGAAACTTCAAGGTAGGAGGTGTAAGTTGTAGCAACAATAGAAACCTCAGAGGAGATCATCAGAAAGTGATTAACTATTTTTTTTCAAAAGAATGTGCACAATTGACAATATTTTCAACACAGACATATATTTCTAACTCCTCTGGTGTCCTGTTTCTTATTCATTATACACACACACACACACAAAGCTCAGATTTTGGTTTAGTTTCATTAACTCCATGTTTCTGCTACTTATAATTACCCAAAGCATTACGATCAGATCATTCACACATTCATTTACTTGGAATAATTCTCATTAAAGGGACTTTCAGAGAAGTAACTTAATGTTGAATACAATTGCTCGTGCATTATATTTTTGTAGATTTAATATGCCACTTGATGGTTTGTTAAACTGTCTGATTTGATGTTTGTTATAAACATTCACTGTGTTGAAATCCCAAATAACCAACAAGCATACAACTCTTTTCCACAGAGTATATGCTCTATCTTCTTTGTTGTTTTTCTTTGGACTCCCTCTCTCTTAGCATGAATACACCAAAATAAGATTAGCTCAAATATTTTTTACTAGAAAATGAATTTCTGCTTTAATATAGTATTGCAGGCTTATTTTGATTTCCTGAAGCACAATTCAGCTAACATCCCAGGTGAATTGGATGAAACTGCAACTGGCTACAACCAACAAGGGCAAGAACCTCAACAGACAATTGCAGGCAAAGGTCTGTTGCCTAGCATCCTGCAACATCTTGCAGGACAGTGGAGCAGGAGATCAGACTTTGATCAAGGAAATATTACTGAGGGAAGTGGACCCAAAACTTTCTGGAGTCACCTCCAGGGACAAGTAAGGCAAACACAGTTACTGGGCATCAAATAGTGCCCTTCTTCACTTTCACTCCTCTAAAAATCTGTCACTCCACGAGACCATCAGGAAGGAGCAGAGAAGGAAGTAACATGAGTTTCAGCAATGAATCAGTGCCAGGAAAGAGTCGTTGGAAATTCAACTCTGTAGGAACTGAATGCTTTGCCACAGTCGCAAAATTCATGTCTCCATTTCCAGTTTCTTCCTCTTCATTTTTTCCCAAGGAACTCCAGGGGCCAAAGCAGGAGAGCACTGGTTCCAGGGAGGGTGCTGGCTGTCCAGACAGACATGCAGGCTGCTCACACCTCTCTAAAAGGTACCTCATTCATCTAAATATTTCAAATTAAACTGTTTCAGACAAAAATGAGTTCTCTAATTTTCAGCACCGAGTCACATTTTTTATTTTGCAATTCCGAAGACATGTGGGTCCTTCTCCCCCATCCCCACTGTCTCTCATCTTGAAAATTCCCAGTTCCTTGAGTGTGATGTCAGGATGTGTTGCCATGAAAATTTAACTTAAAATTATAAGCACTAAATTAGAACTTCTTTGTATGGCAAAAGATCATACAGAGGGGAATAGCAATTTAAACAAAGATCTTCTATAATTAGTGATAATAACAAAGGAAATATTCATAATTACATCAAAGGATTCTTCACTGAGTATTGTTTTTATTTGCTTCCTGAGGGAGCACAGAATTCTCTGAAAAGATAACACTCTTTCAGGCAGATGTAGATAAATAAAGGAAGGCCATCTAGAGAATCCAATTTCAAACCAAAGCCTGAAAAAAACTCAGAAATCCAGAAGACATTCTCTTACTGATGTAATTACATGCCAGGCATCAGCACTCTGCTAGGTATGCAGTGCTGATAAGCCTGCAGCATGTAAACACCTTTTCAGATGAACATGACCCACAACACCATGGCTACCCTGGGCATCTGTCTCCACATACATGAGGCATAGCCCAGGGATTAATTTCATCCACTACCGTAAACAGGACTAATTTTTTTTTAAGTACAGATAGCTAAAAATAGCCAAGTGTAATGTTATGCAATAAAACCGGGTACATGTTTCCCCTTTCCAGATGAGGGAATCTGACACAGCTTCAAATAGAAAGAGGCAGCAGTCTTACCAGAACACAAAATATATTCATTTCATCCCCTTCCAGAGAGACAGCATTTGAACCTTCCATACATTAAAGATGTATGCCCACTATCATATCATTTCAATGGCCCAAATATTAATTTATGATCAAAAATTCACAGCACTTCTGCCCTCCCCTGGAAAAAAAAATAGGTCAAAAATAAATGGAAACAAACTGCTTTCTGCCCCTTTTTATGCATTTGACAGAGAGAAAAAAAAATGAGGAGATAAATCTGCATAATACTAAACCGAATCTCTTTAATTCCAGTCAGCTTTTATCATTCAATCACTGAGTCTGTATGTGGAAAAATTCATGCTAATTCCCCCTAGCAACAGCCGCAGCCTATCCGGGGGAGCCCCGCACCAGGCAGCTGCCAGCCAGCAAGAATAACTCTAAGTAGGTCAGCCCTGCATTTCTAAAAATGCCACGGTCTAGTAACCCCACTGTCCCGTCTGTCTGCCCTGCCCCATAATAACCTCGATCACTTGGTGACACAATGACATACTACCCTGTTAGACCGCAATCAAATCTCACTGCATTATTCTGCTACGAGCATCGCTGCTGGATGAAGGACCCATCGAGGGGCAGCATTAATCAGGCAGCCATTCATGTCCACTAGCACTTCACTCTGGAGATGGGGCCTGCATTAATGACCAGCTGTTTGAACTAACACAAACAAAATAATGCCTTCCACCCTGTTGGCTGCACAGAATACACTATTCTAATCAGGCAGGTTATGCTCATTGACTAAACCTAAGATGTAAATTAAACAGCCCCAGACAATGCCAGCTTTTGTAACCTTCTATTAATTAAAGTGAGTATATTTAAAATATACTACACACAATTCAAAGAGCTATTGGTTTAATATACAGAGTCACCTCCTCCTACAAATTTCTGTTCACAGTCCAAAAAAAAAAATAAAACCACTAAAACCAAAAACCACCCACCCCACTGTTTGCATAAGACAATCTGCCTATCCTGGTAAATTAAAGAGCGACTACAACAGAGCTTAACTGCAAGTGACTTCTGCTGGGAGCAGGGAACCACACCAGACTTCCAGCAATTGGGCGTCGGGAAAACCGAGAGACATGCACACTGGATGTGGTGGAGGGGTATTGATGAAAGCCCAGCAAACATATTCCAGCCATGACACAGTCGCAGCAGATTAAGCACCCCCTGCAATCTCGCTGCTAAAGCGCTGCCCAGTTGCCTTCACGGACCTAAAAATAATCGCAGAGGTCAGAGAGCCCCTGGGTGGGATATGGGCATGTGTCTTTAAGAGCTCATAGCTGCGCCCATCCCTCCTACTTCCCACAGCCCTGGGGATTTCTGCATGGCTGCAAGATGCTGCACGAAGCCCTGTCCCTCCCCCCTTGCTCTTAACCAGAAAAACCTCAATATAAACCACTCCAGAGCCCAGCCGGTCTTCTCTGGGGTGGTATTTTGGTATCAAATCTGTAATGCCAGAACAGAATTTCATCAAGCTTGCTTTATGTTTAATTATACCCTTCTTTTAAACACCTTTGTGAGTAGCTTGCTGGTCTCTTCCCTCAGAGCATGCCTCCATGTCATGCAGCTGCCTGTACAGGACAGAGCTAGGAAAGACATTCTCAAGGACAGATTGTTCATCTGCATTTTTTTCTGAAAGATTTGCACTTTCTGTGAATGTCTTGCCCTCTGACAAACTGATAATTCAGTCTTCACTGCTGCAGAATTCAGCGAGCCTTGTGCATGTAATCCATCCACATCTGATTTTAGGAACACAGCAGATTCATTAATCCATTTTGCTCTTTCTTGTTTGAACCAGGCTTGTTAACCAGGTTTTGAGAGTCTTCTTTTGCTTTGTGGCACACATCACATAGCTATTCTTGGAGAGATACAGTCACTGACGTAACCGTGGGCTCCTAATTACAAGCTGCTGACATTTCGCTCGTCTCTGCAGCTTTGAAGCCGTGAGTTAAGAGCCTCTCCTCCTCCCTCCTTTCTTGCTTTAAGCTGCCCGAGTTAGAAGAACACGACAGTTTCAGAAAGGTATAGGCAGTGGCATAAACTCCTTTGCAGAGCCTGCTGCATTGCCAAAGTTTTTTTCTTTAAGCAAACAGAAAACTACAGTTTGGGAGTAATAAGACTCCTTTGCCCCCAGCACAAGAATGTTATCCAACAGCTGGCTAAATATAATCCAACACAGAGGGCTGCCTTTGTAGGCTGGGGAACAAATAGTGGAAGGACCAGACAGGCATCTTACAGGGTAGCTCACCATGACTATTGGGAAATCCCCTCGTACACATTTTACGTTGACATTATGGTCCATGGCTTTGTATGAAAGGGAAAAAAAGGAAAGGGAAAAAAAAAACGTCCTTCTCGGTATGCAGCTGCTGGAAACCATGCCAAGACTTGCTAGCTGACTGCAGCACTTGTTTCCCCTCTTTCTGCATTGTTCAGATATGACCAAGCCGAGCTGCCTACAGAATGAAATATGCCTGTACTGTGACAGGTCTACCTGTCCCTAAAAACATGGTCTTCCCCATGCAGGTTCGGCAGTAAAAAATACACCCAGGTACATCTCACAGAAATTGATTGCCAAATACAAGCATTGCCTTTTCTCAGTATGTAAAGAATCCTTTTCAATTAGAGCTGATTTTGAAAATCTAAAAAAAAAAAACCAAGAAAAAGATGCAAATACAACACTGAATACAAATGCTCAGTTGAGGATTTAGTCATCTGATGACTGTGGTAGCCAGCTGGTCTAGAAGTCATCTGGGATGCATTTATTTTGATTAGATTGATCACATTTCTATTTACAGTATAGAATTTTTTCACCATACTGAATACAGCTGTGTTTATAGAGATTTTAAGATGGAGAAAATGAAACCCCACGGTTTCTCTCGGCACAGTGCAGAAGATTCAATGCTTTAAGGTGTTAAGCAGAAAGGATCTGCTTTCATATTTCTTAAAAGAATACTGCCTACCATCTGTTTTCACAAAGTGCCACCTCAGTCAGGAAATGGGTGTAGAGCTGTAGCTGAAAATACAAGCTGCAATCAGGTCTGACCCAGCAAAGTGACAAACATGCTCTGTAAATTGGTTAGATATGTCTTGCTTTCATTTCCATACATGTTCACACGCACACAAAAGCACATGCATACACAGATACACACAGAGTGAGTGGCTGCTGTTTTCCCTGGGGATATTCCTGCAGCCACCTAACTCATCAGTTCACTCCTTGACAGCACCAGAAGTGCTCAAGCTACGATTTACAGTCCCTCGCTCCATACACTGCTTTGTTAATCAAGCCATCCTCTCTGCAGCGAGAATCCACAGTATCAGACAAACGGCACGTAGCGTTTCTTCTTCCTCTGCATTTGCATTTGCTCGCTCTCTCCTTCTCCCTTGGCTTTGCCTTAACAGGCAGGTGCAACCGATACCTTATTTATCCATCTCCAGCACAACACTGAGGTGAAACCTGACTTCAGCAGTGTGGCTTCCTCATGTTAATCCTCTGGAGCAGCAGAGGCTGGATTCTTGTTGCTGATGCCCTTGTCGAGCACTGGATTACTTTACATAATATTTCTTTAAGCTTTCACCCACCCCATTCTAGATTAACACCCTTCTTTTCTCCTCCCTCCCCCCCACCAAAGAAAACCCCAAAATCGTCACGTATCGCAACCCTTTGCTTCCAGAGCCAACAAAAAAAACCGCGGCTCCATCGTTCTTCTTCCTTAGCAATGTGCAGATGGGAGAGTTTCGAGTCAGCCAAGCCAGGGTGAAGCACAGGAAACAAGACTGCAGCAGCCCCAGCAGCAGCAGAAAGAGCAGCAGCCGCCCAGGTAAACGCGAGGAAAAGCAGGCTGTGTCGAAAGCGGTGCAGCATCGTAGCTGTAAGGAAAGACAGTCTTGCTTCTTCCGAACGGTGCAGCTTTATGCCTGCAGGAAACGGAGAAAAGGGAAGACCCAGAATTAAAAATTAAAGCCAAAATAGTTAAGAAGAAACAATAACTGTAATAAATTAGCGTAACTTTATTTTTTCTGGGGTTTGGGGCTTTCTGGGAGGCTGTGTCTTTTCCTCTCCCCTGCTAAAGTCTCCTGTGTTGCTGGATGCTACTGTCCAAGAGTGCGGAGTCACAAAGGCTCACTCTCCAAAGCGCAGTGAGACCAGCATCACATGAGAAACCACATGACGCACCCAAATCGGATGCTGATGTGGTCCACTATTTCACTCGGGGGGAAAAAATCTCAACCGAAACATGCCCTTCTTCACTGGTTAGAAAAAAATTTCCCTTAAAAAAAAAAAAAAAAAAAGAAAAAGCCCCCCCAAAAAATATCTCCATATCTATCCATCTTCAATGCCAATGCTTCAGGAGGCAGTAGAATGCTGTTCCACAGACACTAGCTGGATGGCAGCAATATTACTTCCAGGCTGCGTTATTCAAAACTGATTCCACTTAAGTGAATTCCTGAAAAGCATACTCCATGTCTCCCTAACATGAACAGACTCAGAAAACCATCTCCATTATCATTCCCTGCAATCTGTATCCAAACTTGTGTTCTGAATAATTTATTTTAGGCTAATAAGCTGTTTGCCAAGACCACTCCTTTTCCCACTCAGCCCCACACTCAACAAGCGACTGCAGCAAGAAACACAGAGGCATTTACGGTTTCCTTAACTGGTAATTTTAGTAAATGCACTGTCCCACAAAACAATCAGGAAAAAATTAGCAGAAGGTTTTTTTCCTCATGTATGGACACAACAGGGCTCTCTCTGGTTTGCAGACCGTGTCAATGTTTTCCTGATATTGCCGACTCAAAAGCTTTCAGTCCAAGTCAAGAAGCAAACATTCTTGCCTGCCAATTCCTGCAGAGGTGTTGTGCCACACTGTTTAACATGCAGAAACATCTGGACACCCCTGGCAGCCCCTGAATAAGAGCGTGCAGCTCTGCAACACTGTTTTTACTGTCAGGGCACCAAGCAGTTAACATCTTGGCTTCTTTACCATCTTGTTTAACCTACAGGAGCATGGAACCGAGGGACTGGTTCGCTCAAGAAACAAAAGCAAAAAAGCTGACCTTGATGATCGACGGAACTGCTGCTCACAAAGTTATCATCCAAAAAAAACCCAGTTAGCGGTTTGTAGCTTGTTTTATGCCTAACATTTGTTCAAGTGACAGAGCAGGTGGCACAGAGTCTTCCATCCCCTTTGTTTGCAAAAGCCGGGCACCACCTCGTGACGCTGCACTCCCTGGCTCTTTACACTGAAACTGTACTCGGTGTCAGGGAAATGCAGGGAGAGAGCTGCCGTGAATCTGCACAGTGGCTTTGCACAGGATCCCACTGCAGTCTCTGAGGTCACATAACGGAGATCAAGCACAGAATTCCCCCAGAGTGGAGATGCTTAGTCCTTACACAGGTAAGCGCCATCGGAGCAAAATCCAAGTGCTCTTTCATGCCGATTTCAACCTTCCCAACTGCTCACGCGATAGCAGATTGCAAAAATTTGCACAAGGCAGTTGTAGCTTCTTATTGGTTCCTCTCAGAAAGAGGTTTTTTTCAATGGGCTGCACCTAGGGGTTGCCTAAATTCCACATAAAATCCAGCTGTAGCATTCAGTCTCAGCACGCTGTTAGTGTTCAGGGGAGCCACAGGACTACATGTTCAGAAATCACAACATCACCACAGTCATCCCAGGGCATTTTCACCTGTGGGGCTAATAATTTCAACATTGGCAAGTCATTACTGGAAAACAGTGTTGGTAACCCAAACTCTGATTACAGCTAACCAATATAATACTGTATTTTCAGATGGAGTGTCGGTTAATATGGAGAATCCAGGTTATAGATGACTTCCTCAGTCTAAAAGACAAACATCAGTGAGTCAGGAACTCAGTGCAGGAAAATATGCATCTTCTGGGCTTTGGAATACGAGATAAGAGGACCAGTCCTGGTGACCAGTCCTATTGTTTTCAACCTATATCATAATAGCATGGCTCTGACTGGCTTCTAGTCTATTCTCATTACTTTCTAAGACACCGTTGCAGCAGTTCTTGACTCTGTGAGCTGACGATCTTTCCCACTTGATACCAGTAGCTCATTTATCTTTTCTGACTTAAAGCTATGTTAGTTGGAAGGGTCATCTGGAGGTAACTTAGTGAAACCTCTGGATATCATCAACACTCCACCAGTTCAACTGCGACTTCATCCTGAAAACCCTCAGAGATGGAGATTCTGTAACTCTTCTAGTGCTGCACTTCCCTCCCTGGGAAAATAAATGTGCAGGAAATAAATGTTCTTTCTGTATTTATTACATAGGCAGCCTTCCCTGCTCTACTGTATTGCATACATTTTCCTAGATCTGCCACTGAAAGAAAAGCGAAGGAGTCAAGGAATGAAAAGACTTTTCATACTAATTTAACCAAGTTCAGCTCAAATTACTGATGCCTGATCATCATTTAATCTCTAAATACTTCCAGTTCAACCATTAGCCAAATCACTAACACCCTGGTGAACACCCTGATAACAATTCCAATGTGTTACTCATGAGAAACAGGAGAAAAAACAAATATCATGAGTATGAAATCTTTACTAGGCCTGAACCAACATGGTACATGGAGGATACTGGTTTATTCAGAGTAAACAAGACACATTTTTCAAACAGACCTGAAAAAGTGGCCCTAAAGTATCTGTAAAAACTTCTTCTCAAGTTTATGAGAAACCTCCTATGCAGGTAACGTGATGCACTAACCTTTCAGTAATACCCAGAAACACATAGTCATGTTAGGTGTCAATGAGGAAAGAGGCAGCAAAAGAGATAAGAATTACAAAGAGAAAGACCAGTAATAATTCCTTCAGGAATGTAAAAGACTTAGGTGAAGAAAGGCTTTATGTGCAAGGCACAGTGCTTACAAATCTAATGCTTATGATTTAGATAACCTCCCCACCAGCTGCTTTGTTAAGAGCATGGGTAAATTTCATCCCTTTCCAAATCTCTGACATAGTTACTTTATTAGTTTTAGCTCTCAAAGTAATTCATTGGCAGACTCTAGATTAACCTGCCTAAAATTACTTTCTCAGTTTAGCTCCATAGCATATATTTTTCCCCTCCATACAGAGAATGAAGAAGCAGGAAGTTGTCCAAGCAGAACAACTGAGGGTACAGGTAAGAATTTCTGGTGGACAACATCGCTTCCTGAGTTCACATGAAAGCTTTTAGACTGGAACACACAGAAATAATTGGGATTATTTTGGATACTGCCTTGAGAGGTCATCTATACACATTTTTCCAACATCAATTTAGTGTCAGCATTTGAAGATCTGTTCTCAAGCATTTGATCACAAGTCCCTGCTCCATATTAGTGCATCTTTGTGATGCCCAGGGATACACTAGCCACCTTGGATTTGATGTAACTGTCCACAGAGGACAGGCTTTGGAGCAAAGATTTAGCAGCTGATTAGACTTCAGACAAACATGAAGAATTAGAGTAATACACAAAGAGCCCAAAGTAATCTTAATTCATGACTGCTTAAAGGCTACTGAATTCTGTGGAGTGATTTTTGAAATGTTTTTCAACCAAATACTTCTTTGTATAGTTAATTTCCTGCTTGGTAGAGTACTCCAAAGCAACATATATTCCTGCAAGACTGATGCACTGAACATCACAGAAAATGAAACTTTGGATCCCAGCATCAAGATAGTTGCAGTGTTACAAAGAGCAAGACCTAAATTCCTTTCAACACCAGATGAGTGTTAGGATTCAAAAGAGGAAAGCAACCCAGGCACCTCTAGGGCATCAGCCTTTCCTTTTGGGAAAGGCCCTGAAGTCAAAGGAAGCAGAACTTCACGTTGGTTAAGCACAGCACAGGCACTGCAGAGACTGGACAGAAGTAAAAGAGCAAACCAAAAATGTAACTTTTTGCTCATTATAGCCAAAAATTGCCATCCTTGCGTAGCACTAAATAGTGCCACCTAGAAAGTAGGAACTGAAAAACAGCAGAAACTTGGAAAATGTTATAGTTTCAATTGAAGCAGAATGCCACTAAGTACACTTATGCATATCAGTAAAATGTGGAGTTGCTAATTTTGATTGAAACCTACAATTGCAAGGAATGGTCCGTTTGAATACTTGATGGTTCTCAGCAAGTATCAGGTTTTGGGGTTCATTTTTCAATGAGCTTTCCCTTTGTAATCTACAGATAAAGCAAGCATTATCATTAGGCTTGAGATTTCAGCCCAAAAGCCAGGCAAAACTTGATGTTTCTCTGAACTTGAAACCTCAAAGTGAACCTCAAGTGTGCAAACCTTATGGGCTCAAATCAAAACAAACATATGTCAGTGAACAAAAACCACAGAGCTGCACATAGATCTAAGCACTGAGCCACGCTGGCTGCTGGCCAATGGGTGAAGTGCCCTACACTTTGCACAAAACGCCAGTAGATGTTTAGTGACCACAGGGTACGTCTAGACACACACTGCCATAGTTTAAAGACACTTAGGTCAATGGCATCTGAGAGCTCGAGTCCAAAAGCAGTTTCTCTACGTTGTACCTCTTCAGTTAGGTAAGATATCCTTTTTGTGTGACCACAGCTAAACTCCTTTGGCACTTGATGGGCTTTCTCAAAGCCATCTCCTGACATTGCTATGCTGTATGGCCCCTGAAACGAAGATCTAACTACTGCCTCACAAAAAAAGTTATGCTTTGATTGTTCAAACAGTTAAAAAATAACCATAATTCCACTTTTTCAATAGAATTTTCAGTAGAATATGCCAGAATCTAGATCATCTTAGGAAATGCATGTAAAAAAAAAAAAAAAATAGGGAAATGCTGCTTTTGCATTGTCAGTACAGAGACTTTCATCACAAGAAACTGGTGAAGCGACACAGTTCTTCAATTTTCTCTGGAAGTCATCTGAAACCAGATCAATTTATCTGAATTCACTGATTATTCAATACTACTCCTAGAAAAATTTCCCACATGAATTCTGTTTTCTACTGATGTGGGATGGACAGTTTATTGCAATTACCCTCCCTAGGTCTCAGCTATTTCAGACGACAACACTGATCATATATGTTTGTATTCACCAGCTCTTTAATCTTATTCAAGAATGTGTTTCCAATGTGATTTGAATGCTGTGTTTAAAATTTGAATATTTTC